CTCCTTCGGGGTGAATTATAGCTTTGAAAACCCTGTGGGGCAAACCTTTTCTGTCCTCTAGTCACTACGGGTCAGGTTGGCCTCAAACAACACACAACAACTATGTACCTTTCCAGGCTTGATGTGGGAAGCCAGGCCTGTGATAAACATGAGTTTTATGTGAATGTTGAATCGGGATGGGGGTCTTTATGTAATTATATATTATGTATGCTTTAATAGAGAAGTTTCACATGTAAGTGTTTGATTTTCTTTATTAGAATAATGGATGTATGCATGCCTGTCTCGTGGAAGCAAGAATTCTTGTACATTCGTACATGTATTGAGTGTTGTCCAGAGGCAGACTGGTGACAAGAAGTTGACGACAAAAACTTTACATCTGTTGGCCACCCTAACCTCAGATCCCCACTGTTTACACACACATGAACAATCTATTTGTAATTGTAAAGGTTTAGAGCAGTAAAATCTCTATGCTTCCTGTACAACCCCACCAAAGGTAAATGCTTACTCTACTGTTTACCAAGCATTTCACTTTTCAAGAAATTTTTCAATGAAGCCCTCGCTTCATTGGGCTTTCCACTTTGGTAACTGATGTTCATCATTGTCTTACACGCACACACACTTGAGCGACCCAAGCAAATCCAAATAAAGAGAATAAGAGAGAGTGAAGGATTCAAAAGGCTGCAACTCTGAATCTGTATCTGGCACTCAGGCTTCTGTGTGCTTCATGAGTCCCAGGTGCAAGTCGTCCTAAGACATGTTGTCAGCCAGTCCGAGATTGAGCCATCTGGACTTTCTGTGTCTTAGAGCTGTGACACGCTTAGTAAGTAAGCTATGGCAGCAAGAGCCATGCCAGATCCCCCCCTCTGGCTTCATAAATTAAACGTTCTCCTCAAGGCAGGCCAGCAGCACTTGATCCCCAGACAGGTTGCTCAACACATACCTCCTCCTTTCTCAGTATCTTCCTGGGAGTCTTCATTTTCCAGATGTTTCCTCTTTTGACGTCGCTTCATAATACCAGGGATCCCTTAGAAGATGACTAATGTCCAGTTCGTCCTTTTCCCTTTAGATTGACCCTTCTTGTCTCTCAGATAATTCATTGAGATGATTCAATACAAATGAAACTAGTCAAGACTCCTAAATGATGGAAGAATGCAGACCATTTAGTGAACCAGCAACATTACCCAGTGCTCCCCACACAGCAGGGCTGTTAAGGTTCAAAGGTCACAAGGCTGGCAGCAGGATTCTCTGATGTCAGGATGACATCAGCACATTCTATGGATCCAGGGCCTACAGTCTTTGCAACTGCAGAGATGACAGTTTTAAGAATAATTCCATTTTCCAATGAAAACTCCCCAAGGAATTCAACTTTCATGTCTTCCAAATATGCTACGATCCTTTGAAATGTGAACATGTTTCTACTTTACTTTTCTTGGTCTTTATTTTTCTTTTCATTTCTTCTTTCTTTTCCTACGAATTTCTAAAATCCCATGTTCCATAGAAAATAGAGAATGCTTGAGCAAAAACATATTAGAAGCAGGAGACTTTGAGAAAAAGTACTTTCTTACACTACTAGATTGTTGAGAAGTGCAGTAAAATGTGAGGACCATAGAAGAGAGGAGCCCTCTGAAGTGTGACTGGCGAAGATATGGCAAAATGCCCAACAGACAAAGGCTGTATCCTACATAAAAGCGTGATCATGACAACCGACCCTATGTGCAACAATGATGACTAAACCTACCTGAGTAGTAGGTATTAAACTGCGAAGCATGGAACCTTCTACTTGTTCTTTTTCTTTAATAGTGATTTGCTTATCTAGGGTCACTCTCCTTTTCATAGGAAATTGATTATTTATTTTTCCATCTTTTTAACTGTCGGAAGTGTCAGATAGTCTTTCATCATAGTTATACTATCTTACAATCCCATTATCAATATATGAGGGATCTGGTTTCTCCGCATCTTGGTCAATATTTGGTATTTTCTGTTTGTTTTTGCTGTAACTTCACTATTCGTTATGGGGTGAGATGATATCTCATTGTGATTTTTATTTGCAACTCTCTGTGGGTTCGGCATTGAACTGCTAACCACAAGACAAGTGATTTTTAACACATTATCCACTCTGGGAGAGAGAAAGACGAAGCTATCCACTCCTGTAAAGATGTACAGTCTTGGAAACCCTAGGAGACAGAATTGATCCAAATGGCAGTGGATTTGGTTTGGTACTGTCTAACGATCGTGAGCTTTCCTTCATATGTTCAGCATCTGAATATCTTCTTTTGTGAAGTATCTGTTCATGACCTCTGCCAAATTTTTAATTGGATTATTTGTCTTTTCTGGGTGAAGTGTTGATGTTTTTTAGAAATGAGTCCATTGTCTGATATGTTGTTGTCAAATTGTTTTTCCTTCTCACTGGGTTTTCTTTTTACTCTTTTGGTGATATATTCCCCACATTCTAGTGATCTAGTTTGTCTTCGGTTTGTCTGCTTTTAGTTGTTTTTAGTATATTTA